TTTTTTTTTTTTTTTTTTTTTTTTTTTTGAGACAGGGTTTCTCTCTGTAGCCCTGGCTGTCCTGCAATTAGCTCTGTAAACTAGGCTGACCTCGAACTCGGTGATTCGCCTGCCTCCTGCCTCCTGAGTGCTGGGACTAAAGGCATGCGACACCACTGCCTGGCTAGAAATAAACTGTATTAAAATTGGTTATTTTAAATTTTCCCTTAGCAGATCGTACTATGTTGGTGTGTATGTCTTTCTCAGAATTAAAAATTACATAAATTCCACAAGTGTATATATTGTGACAAACGGATTCCATGATTCTCCCTTTTTCTTCTTTGAGAGCTGCTGCTACCGTGGCCGTGACCAGAAAGAGAAGGAGCCAGGCCACACCTGCCTTCTGAGCAACTCTGTACAAGTATCTTTTGATTCCACTTTTAAAAAATGATTCCTTTTTTTATCTTTCTATTTCCATGTCCCAAAGCACTACCCTACCTTCATGCCTGGTTTTAAAAGTTTGTTGTTATGGTTGTTGTTTTAATATATTTTCAGGGGCTGGAGAGGCGGCAGCTCAGTGGTTAAGAGCACTGGCTGCTCTTCCACAGAACCTGGGTTCAATCCCAGCAGTCACATGATGGCTCACAACTGTAACTCCAGTTCTAGGAGATCTTCTGGTCTCCAAGGACACCAGGCACACGTGTGGTACATAAACACACATGTAGGCAAAACACCCATGCACATAAAATGATAAAAATGTAAGTAGATTTTATAATATTAATTCTTTTAGAATTCCATGCATGCATACATTACATTTTTATGGTATTCACCCCTTGCTCCTCCCCCTAAACTCTCCTAGATCCACCCCCCCACTTTCCCACCTCCTCCCAATTTCTTGTCTCCGCTTTCTCTCCCTCCCTCCCTCCCTCCCTCCCTTTCTTTTTTTACCCACAGAGACCAGTTTTAGCTGTTCATATATTCAGGATGTGGGGCCATTAACTGCAGCTTCTTAACTTACCAGGGGTCACACCCTTAAAGCAAACTGTCTCCCCTGGAAGCCACCAACTGTCGGTACCTCCTCAGCTGGGTGGGGCTCATGAGTCCCACCCACTCTGTGCTGGACTGGCAACTGGCTTTGCTGTTGTGCGGGTCTTGTCAGTTCCTGAGTGCAGCATCCATCATGTCCTGAAGGCACTGTTTGGCTCGGGTCCTCCCTGACCTCTGGCTCTTCCCATCTTTCTGTTCCCTCTTCTTCAGTGGTCTCTGAGCATTGAGAAGAGGTTTGGTTTTTAAGAGTGTATGCATTAGGCAACTTTCTATTAGTATATCTATCTATATATAAACACCTGAGATAGCCCATTCTGAAGAGTCAAGGCTCTCTTTGCTCACTTTGTAGGCAGCAGCCCGTTACTTTTTCAGACTGTGGTGAAGTGATGCATTACAGCAGGCAGTGTTGGGGGAGGCAAAACTACAGATCTCATGGCAGGAAATAAAAGAAAGAGACTGGGGTGTTTCCACAGCCTCCCAGCACTACCAACCTGGGGGGTAAACCTTTGGGTGGCACCCTGGATACAAAATACAGTTCTGTGGAGGGGTTTGTGTTGTGTGAGTGTGTGCACACACTCATATGTGTGTGGAAGTGATGCTTTAGAGCCACCAGGGTTGGTGACAGTTACAATTTCCTCTCTAGATCCACGTCTTCCATGATATCGGAAGAGGAATTCTAGACAGTGCCTGGCGAGGCTACAATGCTACTCTCCTGGCCTATGGCCAGACTGGCTCTGGGAAAAGCTACTCCATGATTGGCTTTGGCACAAACAAGGGTATTATTCCAAGAGTGTGTGAAGAGCTCTTCCAAGCTATTAAGACGCAAAAAGAAAACATAGAACTCCAGGTATGTATCCATTATTCTAGAATCCTGTCTTTGGGGAACTGTGCCTTTTCATTTACCACAAGTGGAAGGCACCAAGGCACCAGCATCTGTGTTTTCAGATTTGTGTGTGTGTGTGTGTGTGTGTGTGTGTGTGTGTGTGTGTGTGTTGGGGGACATTTGATGGCACTGTGAATCTCAAGATTGCTTTTGCATTAATTAAATAAAATTAACCTTGGGTCAGGAGGCTGTGTTAGCAACTAGTTGACAAGAAGTAATCATAGAGCCTCAGAGGGCATCTGGGAGAGACAGAGAAACACAGGAAGTAGTAGGGTGGGTTTTGCAGTGGAGCAGCTTTTCCTGGTTTGGCAAAGAGGAAGCATGGGTCTTCTGTAGACACCAGCAAGGAGAGAGAGTTAGCTAGTTGCTACTTAGCCTCTCTGAGCTCCCAGGTTTTCACCTCAGCCTTTGAATCTTGATTCTTATTCATAATTGAATGATAGAGATTTAGTTAAAGCTACCTTCAGTGGCAGTGACAGGGCCAGTGCCTGTGGGAACCTGAGTGACCAGGATGCTGCTGGAGAAGCAGGTTGGTAACTACGGAGCTGCAATTGCTGGCTGAGATAGCAGTAGATGAAGGCTCAGCCACTGTGCCGAAGTTGAAACAATATTGGCACCCAATATGGGGCCCAAAATTTCTACAAAGGGCCTGAGAAAGCTGAAAATTAATTAATTAATTAAGGATGCAGCTCCTTTAGGAGGCGCTGCTGTGCAGCAGAGCTCTTGAGCAACCAGCATGCTAAACAGAAACAACAAGCTAAGTAAAATGCCTGCCACTGTGTGGGCACCAACTTCCTAGAGCTGGGTAGGTTAAATGCAACTCTCAGGTAAATGCAGCTCTCAGCCAGGCTCTGGGTTTAAGACTGGGCTCTCAGTGATCTGAGGAGGGGGTGGAGCCAACCACCAGAGCCACATGGCGGAGGCTTAGTAGGCGAAGCACATACTGTGTGAGTCATTCCTGTAAAGCCCACCCTAAAACCCTCCCACAGCACCCAATGGCGGAAGCCGCCTCCTCCTCTCCTGTCCACATTCTAATTAATCTTCCCGCCTTAGCCTCCCGAGAACCGCAGTTGCAGGCCTGACAATAATCCCTGTTTTGGCCGGGCGGTGGTGGCGCACGCCTTTAGTCCCAGCACTCGGGAGGCAGAGGCGGGCGGATCTCTGTGAGTTCGAGGCCAGCCTGGTCTCCAAAGCGAGTTCCAGGAAAGGCACCAAAACTACACAGAGAAACCCTGTCTCGAAAAAAAACAAAAAAACAAACAAACAAGAAAAATCCCTGTTTTGTGTGTTTTCCTTTTCTTTTTGATTGTGTGTGTGAGTGTGTACATGAGTATGTGACACAACAGTGCATGCACACGTCTATACAGGTAGAGATACATGCTTCCGTGCACATGTGTGGAGGCCAGAGGAGGACACTGGGTGTCCCCTCCATCACTCTCCACCTTGTTCCCTTGAGAGAGGGTCTCTCGCTGAACCTGGAGTTTGATGTGTTTAGATAGACCGGCAGGCAGTGAGCCCAGAGCGCCTCCTGTCTGCATCCCCCCAGCTGCAGGTGAGCACCGTCATGCCTGGCTTTTTATGTGGGTGCTGGGAATCCAAACTCAGGTCCTCATGCTTGAGCGGCCAGTGTGCTTACCCACTGAGCAGCTCTCAGCCTGTTTTGTGTCTTTTTAAATTTTATGTTGAGAGACTTTCCAGTGCCATAAAATTCCCTGAGAAGCATACGGTTTGAAACAGTTCACTGCAGTTAATGTTAGTTAGTCTTTTCCTTTGTTGAATGTTTATATTCTTGCTACATCACTCCTGAACTCAGGACACTGACACACTGTTCTCCCTACAGGTCATGTTTAGCATGCTGGAAATCTACAATGAACAGGTAATACTGTAGCTGCAGAGTTTTCTCTTCAGGTCCCGCCAAGCCCCGGCAGCCCGACAGCCCACTTATAAAATAAACACACAGACTCTTATATTATTTAAACTATTTGGCCTAATGGCTCAGGCTTCTTGCTATCTATTTCTTACATATTAAATTAATCCATTTCTATAAATCTATACCTTGCCACGTGGCTCGTGGCTTACCAGCATCTTCACATGCTGCTTGTCATGGCAGCGGCTGGCAGTATCTCCCTTGGCCTTCCTGTTCTCTCCATTCTCCTCTCTGTTAGTCCTGCCTATACTTCCTGCCTGGCTACTGGCCAATCAGTGTTTTATTTATTGACCAATCAGAGCAACACATTTGACATACAGACCATCCCACAGCATGACATTCTCCCTATCTCTGCCTCTTTCTCTGTCTGTCTGTCTGTCTGTCTGTCTGTCTCTGCTGAGAATCAAACCCAGGTCCTTGCACACCCTAAGCACAGGCTTTACCACTGAGCCCCACCTATCCCGGGAGCCTGTGCTGACACACAGGCCTGAGTGACTCTGGATTACTAGCACCAAGGGCTCTGGTCCCCAGTCATGCTGTGTTGGATGTAGCCCACCTGCCTCTCCAGCACCATCTCAAATTCCTTGTTCTTCACTGTAGGGAACCTCAGAGTCAGCTCAAGATATCCCAAGACCAAGTTCTCAGCAAAAGGAGATTTATTTGTTCCAGAGGGACACAGGGCAGTAGACACAGACAGGAGATAGAGGACCAGGGTGAGGGGGAAGGGAACAGGGGGAGGGGAAGGGGAGTTTGTCCTGGAAGGACAAAGGACTGCCTCTGGATAGAGAGGAGACAGACATGGGTCACAGGAAATTGGCAGTTTATAAAGGTAAAAGGGGAAACTCCATGTTAGGATGAGGTGTTTAATTTTAACTGGGCATTTAATTAAGGCAGCCAAAGGGGGCTTTTGACGGCTGGGCTTCAATGCTTTGATAACTGGGCCTTGGTAGTCAGGAGGAGGGTTTGGCCAAATAAGGGACTAGACCTTGTTGGCTGGCTTTAGGAATGTAATCTAACTGGTTTCATCAAGGCAGAGGGAATGGCAGAGAGAAGGGCAAGGCCTGCCAGAGCCGTGGTCACCAGGCCTGGGCTGGCTTCGTTCACACCCCATGCTCTAGCCACATGGCAGCTGTCTGAGTTACTTTTCTTTCTTTCTTTTTTTTAAACAGATTTAATTCACTTTATTTTTCTTGTATAAAAACCCTTATGTGGTGACCACAGCTGGAGCCTGGGTCCTCTGAACAGACACTCTGGTGTGGGTTTTCACAAGATGGTCAGTGAATTCCTGATAAGGAGATTTGGTGAACACAGTCTCTTTCCAGAGGTCGGGGGTCAGATAGCTGTAGGTCTTGGAGATGGCATCAATGGTGGCCTTGGCAAAGTTGCCCGGGGTGGCAGTGCAGCCCCTGACAGATGTGTAGCAGTCATCAATACTGGGCATCATCAGTAGTTTCTTGGGCACAGGAACAGAGGGATGTCAGTGCCTCTGGGGACAGGGATGAGACGCACCAACACAGAGCCACAGCGGCCTGTCACTTTGCACGGGACAGTGTGGGGCTTGCCAATCTTGTTCCCCCAGTAGCCTCTCCGCACAGGGACAATGGACAGCTTGGCCAAGATGATGGCCCCTCGGATGGCAGTGGCTACTTCCTTGGAGCACTTCACACCAAGACCATCATGACCGTTGTAGTCCCCAATAGCGACAAAAACCTTGAACCTGGTCCGCTGGCCAGCCCGAGTCTGCTTCTGCACTGGCATGATCTTTAAACCTCATCCTTTAGGGATGCGCCCAGGAAAAAGTCAATGATCTCGGATTCCTTAATGGGAAGGGAGAACAGGTAGATCGCCTCCAGGGACTTGATCTTCATGTACTTAACCAGGCGGCCCAGCTTGGTGACGGGGATCCACTCCTTATCTTCAGCTTTACCTCCACGAGTCCCACGGCCTCGACCACGACGGCCCCTAAGGCCGCTGCAGAATCCTCCGCGGAAGCCGCCACGGCCTCCTAATCCTGGGCCCCCTAGTCCTCCGGGCCCTCCGGCTGCACTGGCGTCGTCTGCCATTTGGTGTTTTCCCGAAGAAGAAGAAGAAGAAGCCTGAGTTACTTTTCTACGGCTGTGAGAAAATGCCAGGGACAGGCAATTTACAGAAGGAAAGGCTTATTTCGTGCTAACAGTTCCAGGGGAGGGAGTCCTTTGTCTCTATGGGAGGAGCATGACAGCAGGCAGGCATGGCCCTGGAGCAGCCCCTGAGAGCTCACATCTGAACCCCCAACAGGAAGCAGGGAGCATGTTGAAGCCTCAAAGCCCAGCCCAGTGACGCACCTCCTATTCCTTCCCACGTGGTCCCACCAACTATCTAAACATGGAGGTCGTTTTCATTCAAACCATCATGACAAATCCCCTGCCTTTCCAGACCGGCCCTTCTCTGACAGGGGTCCTTTCTCGGCTGCTGAAGAAACCACTTGACTTCCAGGCCGTAGCTTCATGCGTCCTGAGGTCATTATGGTCAGTGGGTGAGATGCTGTTGGGGACCAAAAGGGGACTCCTGAGTCTCTGCAGCCCTTGCTGTCTGAGGCATGGTTCATCTCTGCTTTGGAGAGCGCAAGAGAGATGAGCTGCCATGTGCTGACGGACGCTGCAATTTCCTTTCCACATCGTGTGTCACTAAATAGGACTTTTAATTCCCCCGTCCCAATCAAGTAAAGGTGTGTTTTAATTTTTTAAGATTTATTTATTTATTATGTATACAGTGTTCTGCCTGAATGTGTCCCTGCAGGCCAGAAGAGGGTGCCAGATCTCATTACAGATGGCTGTGAGCCACCATGTGGATGCTGGGAATTGAACTCAGGACCTCTGAAAGAGCAGTCGGTGCTCTTAACCTCTGAGCCATCTCTCCAGCACCCATGAAACACATTCTTAACTCAAGGGTCACAGGGGAGCAGTTGGTGCCTTGGATCTAGTTCACAGCCTGCGTCTGGCAGACTTCTGTCTAGAGCAGTGGGAAGAACAGAAGAATGAGACAGGGTGCAGCTCAGTAGCCCAGGCTAGCCTAGAACTCACTGTGTATCTTAGAGGTAGAATGCTTGTTTACCAACCTTAAAGCCCTTGGCTTCATCCCAAGGCCACCAAAATAATAATAAATAATAATAATAATAATTCTGTAAATCAGAGATAAATATATTCAAGGATAGAAGTTTTAAAAGTCATCTGTTTATAGTCAAAGAAGTGTGTACTCTCAACATCCCAACTTACAATCTGCCTCCCAGCTCTTCCGTGCCCCAGAGAAGGCATCCTCGGCCTGTGTGCTCAGCCAGCATCTCTTGGTTTCCCTACCAACTGGGAGGAAGATTTCACAGCACCCTTAAAAATTCAGAGTCGGGGGCCTGGAAAATAATAAAACTGTGTTTCCAAGAGTAATCTCTTAAATTAAGAACTAGGCTACTGGGAGCTGGCAGGATGGCTCAGAGGGTTAAGACACATGTTTCCAAGCCTGATGGCCTGAGTTCAATCTCCTGAACCCACATAAAGATGGAAAGAAAGAACTGACTCCACAGAGTTGTCCTCTGACCTCCGTGTGCACACTGTGGTACTCCATGTGCACCTCACCTCCCTGTACTGGCACTCAAGTACACGTACACACATGTGTGTATACATACACACACACACACACACACACACACACACACACACACACAGGTAATTAGTCTTCTCATTCCACTGTTATGATAAACTTTCTTGTCTTCTTTTTTGTTTTTGCTTGTTCGTTCATTTGTTTGTTTGTTTGTTTGTTTGAGACAGGGTTTCTCTGGGTAGCCCTAGCTGTCCTGAAACTCACTCTGTAGACGAGGCTGGCCTCAAACTCTGAGACCCACATGCCTCTGCCTCCTGAGTGCTGGGATTAAAGGTGTGTGCCACCACTGTCTAGCCTCTCTTGTCTTCTTTCTTGTACATTTCCCTGTTTCTTACTTAGCTCAATTACAAGGTTGTCTGGTACCTGTAGAAACTCAGTATTTAAAAAAAAAAAAAAAGAGCTGGGCAGTGGTGGCACACGCCTTTAATCCTAGCACTTGGGAGGCAGAGGCAGGTAGATCTCTATGAGTTCGAGGCCAGCCTGGGCTACAGAGTGAGTTCCATGAAAGGCGCAAAGCTACTCAGAGAAACCTGTCTCGGAAAAAGAAAGGAAGGAAGGAGGAAGGAAGGGAGGAAGAAAGGAAGAAAGAAAGAAAGAAAGAAAGAAAGAAAGAAAGAAAGAAAGAAAGAAAGAAAGAAAGAAAGAAAGAAAGAAAGAAAGAAAGAAAAAGAGAGAAAGAAAGAAACTCAGTATTAATTCAACTACCTAAGACGTATTTACAGAGCACCTAATATTTCACAGGCAATGATAAGGAAGGAAATGAAATTCCCACGTTCTTGAGCTGTATACCATTTCTTCTTCTGTTTCCTCCTACAGATAAGAGATTTGCTATCTAGAACCAAGACTCCCGGAGGGTTGAAAGTCAGGGAAGATCCACAGCTGGGCTTTTTTGTGGAAGGTCTGAAGTGGGTGCCTTGTGAGAATTACGCACAGATTGAAAAGCTGATGGAGCAGGGATCAAAAATCAGGATGACAGCTTCGACCAGCATGAATGCCAGCAGCAGCCGGTCCCACATGGTCATCACCATCCAGTTCAAGCAGGTGGGAGTCCTCATCTGGGGGCAGGCTCCTGGTGGCAGAGCAGGGGTGGTGCGGTGGACTTTGTCTGGAGCGGGCCAGGGGCTAAGGTACCCGCTTCCAACCATAGAAGGTGGGGCCCAGACGGGAAAAGCTGAGGGCCTTGCTCTCCCTGCCCGCTCCTCAATGAAGCAGGCTCCTTACTTATGACAGAGTGGTCTTGTGATCAACCAATCCTTGGAGTGCCCACAGGACATGGCTGGCTGTTTTTCCTCAAGTAAATTCTACAATCCGAGGAGTGAATTTTGAGGCCAAGTTGGCAAAGGAGTCAACTGTGAAGACACTGACTGTGGTCTAGCATGGAGAACTAAGATTAGCAGGCCCATGTTTACCCACCTGAGGATCAGCCGTGAGCCAAGGGCATGGCCAGGTACTCAGGCATCTTTCTGAGACTCGGACTGACCAAAATCAGTTCTTGGAAAACCTGTAACTAACTAAAGCCTTTGTGTAAATGGAGGCTTTTCTGGCCCGCTCAGTCCCATAGCTGCTTTAAAAATAATCACTCAGAGGCTTAATATTAATTACAAATTGTTTGGCCTATCACTCGGGCTTATTATTAATTAGCTCTTACAACTTAATCCATTTCTTTCTTTCTTTTCTTTTTTTTTGGTTTTTCAAGACAGGGTTTCTCTCTGTAGCTTTGGAGCCTGTCCTGGAACTCACTTTGTAGACCAGGCTGGCCTCGAACTCACAGAGATCCACCTGCCTCTGCCTCCCAAGTGCTGGGATTACAGGCGTGCGCCACCACTGCCCAGCATTCATTTCTATTAATCTATGTTTTACCTGTGCTCCTCCAGTGGCTGGCTGACATCTCCCTGACTCTGCCCTTCTCTCTGCTTGGATTTCCTGCCTGGCTCTATCCTGCCTTGCTATAGGCTAAAGCATCTTCTTTATCAACCATAGGTAATAAAACATATGTACAGCACACAGAGGGGTTATCCCACAGCTCCTTTGATAAACCAGAGAGGACCTCTCTTCTCCATTCTCCTCGGTGGGTGTCAGGACGTCTCTGACCAACATCCGTGGTGGGTTTGGTTTGTTCTAGAAACAGTTGTTCCTGAGTCCTGGGTGAAGCCACAGCCAGCTGTGATTACACAGCCCTTGTCCTCTCAGTGCTGAACCAGCAATGGAGGAAACCATCACGTTCACACCAGGAACAGAGGACTCATAAGCGGCTGTTAGGTACCCGTGCTAACATTGTTGAGGGGATCATCTTCCCAACCCCCAGTTCTGTCTTCTGTAAAATGGGGTGATGGCTCTGTCCTCAGGCACGTTGGGAGGCTGAGATGAGGCACTGCGGTCTAGAGAATTTTCTAGAGATGGGAGGATGGTTCATCAGTAAAGCGCTTGCCGTGCGAACATGAGGGCCAGAGTTCAAATCCCCAGAGCCCACATAAAAGGGTCAGGCATGGCAGCATGCTCCTATGATCTTCATGCTAAAGAAGCAGAGACAGGGGGATTGCAGGGACCTCCTGACCAGGAGTCTGCCAAAGCAGTGAGCCCCGGAACAGTGAGAAACTCGGCCTCAAAAATCAAGTGTGGAACAGTTGAGGAAGACACATGATAGCAACCTCTGTCCTCTGCATGAGGTACTAGTGTACCTGCGCATACACACACATGCACGTGCACAGACACACAGACACACAGACACAGACACACAGACACACACACACACACACACACACACACACACACACACGCACACATACACAAAATTGTAGTCGGACTTTCTTTTGGGACCATCAGCTTCCAAATAATGACATGGAGACTTATTATTAATTATGAAAGTTTGGCCTTTAGCTTAGGCGTGTTCCCAACTAGCTTATCACTTAAATTAACCTGTTTCTATTAATCTGTGTTCTGCCACGTGACTTTTTACCTCTCCTCCATCTGCATATCTGACTCCCTCCGAGTCTCACTGACATCTCTCCTGCACCTAGATTCTAACCCCTCTGAGTTCCTCTCTCTGCCAGGAAGCCTCGCCTAGCCTCTCCTGCCTAGCTAGTTACTGGTCAATCAGCTTTTTATTAAACCAATCACAGTGACACATCTTCACACAGTGTAAACAAATCTAGAACAGATAATTTGGTACATTTTAAGGGCAGTTCACTGGATGAATTTTACCATGTTAGCAAGGGGAGAAATCGGATGAAGGCAAATAAGGGAAGCTTATTTTTTTTTAATTTATTCAACTTTATTTTATGTGCATTGGTATGAATGTGTCAGATCCCCGGGAACTGGAGTTATGGACAGTTGTGAACCACCATGTGGGTGCCGGGAATTGAACCCCATCCTCTGGAAGAGCAGCCAGTGCTCTTAACTGCTGAGTCATCTTTCCAGGCCCAAATTCTTTTTTTTTTTTTTTTAGTGAGAAAGTTAAAATGTTTAAAAAAAAAAAAAAAAAGAGTATAGCCAGCAGGAAACCCTGTAGGATTCCAGTGTGTGTTCATTCAGCTGCTGGACCACAAAGCTGAACAGTTCATGATGTCGCAGGTATCACAGCATTCTATGTGCTAAGAGTTTACTGAAATGCCTGTGCCATGACTGGTATCTATTACATCCCCCTGAAAGAGCTTTGCGGAACTGGAGAGAGGTGAGCAGGACGTGTGGACCCAGGAGTGCAGCTTTATCACTGTCAACTGTCCCTGCTTTGTTACGTTTGGAGTCGTGTAAGCTGGTGGCACAGTCTGTCTCCGAGGCACCAGTCTAACAGCCTGAGGTGTGTCTCTACAGATTTTCCTGGACACAGCCCTCACCAAGCAATCCAGCATCAACATGGTGGACTTGGCAGGAAGTGAGAGGCAGAAATCATCAGGCGCTGAAGGAGACCGGCTGAGGGAAGGATCGAGGGTCAATTTAAGCCTCACCAGTTTAGGAAACGTCATCAGGTATGTGGCCAGCACACAGAGATTCATGTGTCTTAGTTACTTTTCTATGGCTCTGAAGATACACCGTGACCAAGGCAACTTGTAGAAGCAATAGTTTGCTGGGAGTTGACAGTTTCAGAGGGGAAGGGTCTATGGCCATCATGGCAGGGAGCATGGCAGCAGGCAGGCAGACACGGCACTGGAGCAGTATCTTGATCCAGAAGCAGGAGGCAGAAAGAGCTGACTGGAATGGTGTGGGCTTTTGAAACCTCAAAGCCCACCCTCAGTGACACACCTCCTCCATCAAGGCCACACCTCCTCATCCTTTCCAAACAGTTCCACCAGCTGAGGACCAAGCATTCAAACATAGGAGCCTATGGGGGCCTTTAATAGGCTTTCTCAGACTGCCAGCCACGAAACCATGACTTCTTATTAATTATGAAAGCTTGGCCTTTAGCTTAGGCTTGTCCCACTAGCTCTTTTAACTTAATTTAACCTGTTTCTATTCATCTATGTTTTTGCCTCAGGGCTTTTTACCTTTCTTTCCTTCTGTATGTCCTGCTTTTCCTGCTTCCTCTGTCTGGCCACTTGGCCCTGGGCCTCTCCCCCTCTTTCTCCCTCTTCTTTTTAAGTCTAAATTCCTCCTCCTACTTATTCTCTCTGCCTGACAGTACCACCTATCCCTCCTCTGCCTGGCTATTGGCTGTTTGACTTTTTATTAGACCAGTTGGGTGCCTTAGGCAGGCAAGATAAAACAAATGCAACACATCTTTACACAGTTAAACAAATGCAGCCTAAACGAAAGGAACACATCTTTACATGATTAAACAAATGCAGCCTAAACAAATGTAACACTACAGGGGCCCTTCTCATTCAAACCACCGGGTCATGATGTAAAACAATCACATCTAAAAGAGCAGAGGGTGGTACTCCAGTTCCCTAGTGAGCCTGAGACCTGGATCCCATCCCCAGCTCCAAACCTACCAAGGTAAATGAAATAAAATTAGATTAATAATAGCCTTTAGTTCACGATACAGTGGCATCATTGGTTCATGCCCAGCCCGCCTGTATATTCAAAACTAATTAATGCTTCACAAAATAACGTTAGCAGAATAAATGTTCCTTTCATCAACTGAAGTAGTTGGTGTGGTGCAGAATTCTGTTCCTGGGCTCTCCTTCTGGAGGTACCCGCCACGTGGGCTTTGAGGTCCCACCCCTCCCACCATTGCTCCTCCTTGTTTTTCTTTCTTTTCCTTTTGGCCAGGGAGGTGTTTGTATGTGTGTGTGTACACATGTGGATGGGTGTGCACATATGTACACACATGTGCAGAGATCAAAGATGTCCTCCTCATGTAGGATGTCTCCCTCAGCTCTCTCCACTGTATTTATTGAAGTGAGGTTTCTTGATGAAGATGGAGCCCACGGGTTCAGCTAGTCTAGCTCTAGAAAGATTGCCCTGGGGTCTGTTCTCCCGCCCCCTGCCCCGGGGGAGATCTCTGGTCTCTACCTCCCAAGGTCTGGTGGACTGCCACACCAGCCAGGTGGTGTTGTTGGTTGTTTTTTGTTGTTGTTGTTGTTGTTTTACCCGTTTTGCTTTTTTGGCTCTTTTGGAGCTCCCAAATAAATCACACAGAGGCTTATTGTTACTTATAAATGCCCGGCCTTAGCTTGGCTTGTTTCTAGCCAGCTTTTCTTAACTTAAATTATCCCATTACCTTTTGCATCTGGGATTTTTCTTTTTCTTACTTCTGTACATCTTATTTTCACTCTTACTCCGTGGCTGGCTGTGTAGCTGGGTGGCTGGCCCCTAGTGTCCTCCTCCTTCTCTCATTCCTGGGTCCCTCTTTTCTCTCTTTTTCTCCTTCTATGTATTCTCTCTGCCTGAAAGCCCTGCCTATTCTTTCTCCTGCCTTGCTATTGGCCATTCAGCTCTTTTTTAGACCAGTCAGGTATAATACAGTAAGTACACAGCTTCAGAGTTAAACAAATGCAATGTAAAAGAATAAAACAAATCTTTGCATCATTAAATAAATGTTCCACAGCATAAACAAATGTAACACATCTTAAAATAATATTACACAATAGCCTGGCTTTTATGTGGGTGCTGGAATTGGACCTCATCTTCACATTCCATCCAGTGAGCCTTCTCCAATCTTGTTCTATCACATGCATGTTAGTGCATATGTGTGACACATTGTTTTAACTTCATGTAAAAAGGTGAGTAATAGGTTTTCTCCCCCCACCCCAAAAGTTTCTCCACCAATGCAGCAAGCCAGATCAAGCAGAATTGCAAAAGTAGAGCCAACAGGTTTATTGAGCAAAGCAACTCCTGGGCCAGTTCCCCAGTCTCAGAGATCGAGGCCAGAGAAGTTCTGCACCTGAACTAGAGCAGGGAGATGTTATAGATTGTGGGTGAGGGGCGATTAAAAGAATTTTTTAAAAAGGCAAAGTTGGGGGCTGGAGAGATGGCTCAGCAATTAAGAGTGCTGGCTGTTCTTCCAGAGGTCTTGAGTTCAATTCCCAGCAACCACATGGTGGCTCACAGCCATCTGTAATGAGATCTGGTGCCCTCTTCTGGTGTGCAGGGATACGTGCAAACAGAACACTGTATACATAATAAATAAATAAATCTTTAAAAAAACAAAACAAAGGCAAAGTTGGCATCTTTTGGAGGACCCTGCCAAGGTATGCCACTAGGTACACCACTAAGCAAACATGCCACTGGGAACAGAGCTGGTGCAAGAGGGTTATTGGGGAAAGGGGGAGAGAGAGAGTGAACGACTGTTTTGGAGTAAGGAGGCAGGCAGGCAGACAGACAGACAGAGAACAGGCAAGAGGGGAGGCAAGAGAGGGAACTGGCGGGCACTTTTAAAGGATGCTTGTGTGTCCGCAGGTGATGATGTAACTGCCCTGGCAGCTGAGGCAGGCTGCTGCCCCGGCAGGAACTAACAGTGAGGACATGTCTGCCACAAGCTGGGTTTGTGCCCAAGTATGGTCAAAAGCTGAGCACTCGGGCGGGGGGGGGGGGGGGGGGTAGCTGCCAAGAATGTGGAACTGGGCATTTTGGCATCTTTTTTTTTTTTTTTTTGGTCAGAGGCTCTCTGAGCTGGGGGGGGGGGTTTAGAGAGAGAGGGGGGGGGGAATGGGGTTTCCAAGACCATGCAGGGGTGAGCCAGAGGCTCCAACCAAACTGTGAAGTGTCACAATTTCTTCTGAGAGTAACTTTAAAAAACTCTTTAATTATGGTATAAATCCCAGTGACATACATACATCTTTTTTTCTTTGAAGTACATAAATCTCTTTTTTTTTTTTTTTTGTTTTTCGAGACAGGGTTTCTCTGTGTAGCTTTTCGCCTTTCCTGGAACTCACTTGGTAGCCCAGGCTGGCCTCGAACTCACAAAGATCCGCCTGCCTCTGCCTCCCGAGTACTGGGATTAAAGGCATGCGCCACCACCGCCCAGCTTTGAAGTACATAAATCTTAAATGCTCTGTTCAATGAATTTATATAAACAAGTTCACACACACACACACACACACACACACACACACACACACACACACAAAATGTAATTCACACCCAGGTCAAAATATAGAACACTCTCAGAAGCCACAAGTCTCCATCACACCCCTCCCTACCGGGGCACACCCCTACCTGCTAGCACACTATCAAAACAAGCGGGCCTTTTGTTAATATTCTGATCCGCCCCTTGAAATCCCACCCCTTGGTGCCGCCCTGTAAAAGTCTCTTTTTAAGGAAAATCTCCACCCCTTCTCCTCTCTCTCTCCTGCCTTTTCCTCGACGTGTACACCCCTTGACCTCTCTCTTTCTCTTTCTCTCTTTCTCTCTTCTCCCCCTCTTTCCTATCTTCCTCTTTATCTCTCTATTATAATAAACTCTCCACGTGGATGCAGCGTCTGGGTTGTGAATTGCAGAGCGATGGTGTGCATCTGCCCAGCACACCAGCAAGTTTTCCTTCACGCATGCGATACCCTGGCCTGGCCAGCTGGAGGTTTCCCACGTGTGCATAATTCATAACACCTTTACTATCAGATTCATCTTTGCCTAATTATCTTGAGTTTTATAATTTAAAAAATTTTTAATTATGTATATGAGAGTGGGTATGTGCATGTGAGTGCAGGTGCTCATGGAGGCCAAAAGAGGGCGCCAGATCCCCTGAGCTGGAGTTACAGGTAATTGGGAACTACCTATTGCGGGTGTGGGAGTTGCGTTCTCTGCAAGAGCAGTACATGCTCTTAAGCTCGGGGCCCTCTCTCCTGTCCCTGTCGTTGGTGTAGATGAGGCTATCTATGCACACGGGGTCTCTGGCTTCTGTCCTGTCTTGCTTTGTCAGGGACAAGGATAGAATCTCTAGTCAGTGGAAAAATACAGACCCCCCATAAGACAGGGAACTAGATCATCTTACAGTCAGGTTGCCTAGCAACAGGACATTGAGTCAGAGCCCTTGACCCTTTCACCCTGTAAACATCCTACATAAACATCCCGTTAGCTTGCCCCACCCTATGCAGATAACAGCTTCCTGCTTTCCCCACCCTGCAGGAACTATATAAACCCTCCTGGAGAAAAATAAAGTTGCACCTTGATCAGAATCTTGACTTGGTATTTCCTTTGTGTCTCCTGTCTCTACATTCCGTCCTTAGGGTGGTGGAGAACCCGTTAAAGCCCTGTTGGCCGGGGCATTGCTTGGACACTTTTGCACAGGTGTCTACTAGTCTGTGTTATTTCTTTCTTTTCTTTTTTTTTCTTTTTTTGGTTTTTTGAGACAGGGTTTTTCTGTATAGCTTTGTGCCTTTCCTAGAACTCACTTGGTAGCCCAGGCTAGCCTCAAACTCACAGAGATACGCCTGCCTCTGCCTCCTGAGTGCTGGGATGAAAGGCGTGCGCCACCACTGCCTGGCCTAGTCTGTGTTATTATTGCCACTTTACAGGGTGTGTTAGCCATTTCTCTCCGACCTGGAGCCACTTCAGGGAGGAAGGATTTATCTTGGCTCATGGTTTGAGGGGGCTCCTTGGAGGCAGACGTAAATAGTGGCTTACCCACAGGGACCACTGCAGGGATGTGTGGGCCATCTCCAGTTACCTGGAGACGCAGCGTCTTCTCAGCCCTTCCGTTGACTGTTTAGGGTTTTCTCTTTCGAGCAGTGCTCTGGCTGACTCCGCCATGGGGAAGAAAGTTCTGCATATTCCCTACAGAGATTCGGTTCTGACCAAACTGCTCCAGTCGGCTCTGGGCGGGAACAGCCGGACAACACTGGTAAGATCTCTTTCTTTCCTAGAACAGCTCTTGGTATTCTCTGGCTGAAATCACTCTCAACACACCCAGGACTCAGTGCTCAGCCTTGCTCTCTCCATCGTCTCACAGACTCTGATGCCTGTCCGCTTCGGCGTGTGACGAGGCTTCCACAACATTAGATATTTTGTTCTTTGCCGCAGCTTTCGGGGCTGCTACTGGAATATATATTGCTTTCCATTTTGACTCCGTTTTGTGTTGGGGATAGAAACCAGGGCCTAGCACACACCAGGCAAGTGCTCTGCCACTGAGCCATGAACAAAATTAACAATAACACTACCACCTGCATTCTGTGGTGAGGCAGTCAGTTGCCAGGCAGACATACAACCTGCAGGGTGACCGAGTTTCCGTCTTAGCACCGAGAGTCAGTCAGCTATGTGGGCAGCAGCCTGCTAAGCCAGGGCCCTCCCTCTCCAGTTGCAGAATGAGACAAAACTGGGTAAATGCTGCCCATCTCCAAACTCACAGTAAAACACACCCTCGCCTTTTATCATGAACTCTTGCCTAAATACTTCATCTAAAAGTCTTTCCAGGTGTTGGTTATGTGTGGATCTCAGTGGTGCATTCACCAGGAACCTGGATTAAAACAACACTCCTCTGGCCTGGGGATGCAGCTCAGGGTACAGCATCACCATGTATTAGAGTCTGGGCTCCATTCCCAGGACTGGGAAAGCAGAAACAAAACCAGTGCAGCCAAGACACCTTCTAAGTTTCCGACTGCAGATGAAAATCCAGCGACCTGACGGCAGTCTAGTCACCTGCACAGTGAGGCGAGGACACCGTGCAGATCTAGCCGCAAGACTCATGAGGGCAGACCTGAGGCTTTGCTCATTCTGAGACAGGGTCTCACTATATAACATAGGTTGGACTCAAAAATCACAATCCTCCTGCCTCAGCCTCTCAAGTGCTGGAACTACAGAAGGGTACCATTCTAGGCATTTCTCCTTCCACTGAGCCAGCCCCCTACCCACCCCCTCCATTGTAGTGTTTTAGCAACAACAAAATACTGAAGGAGGTAGGAGATAAATATTGAGCATCCCAAGACTCAAATAAAACACAGAATGGCCACAGCTAACCTCCTCCAAGCTCAATGACACCAGCCTGGCTTTCAGCAAAAACGAACAAACTCTCCTTTTTAATTTTAATTAAATTTTTTTTAAATTTATTTTTTCGCCTTTTTTTTTTCCCCCCGGAGCTGAGGACCGAACCCAGGGCCTTGTGCTTGCTAGGCAAGCACTCTACCACTGAGCTGAATTCCCAACCCGAATTTACTTATTTTACATCCTTCCCTCTTCTCCCATTCCCTCCCCCAGCCTCTACTCTCCCCTCCCCCACCCACTCCCCCTCCATTTCTGTTCAGAAAAGGGCAGGCCTCCCATGGATATCAACAAAACTTTCTCTTGAAAGGGATGAGTCACTGGCTCCAACTGATTCCAGCTGACCCAGACAGCAGACAGTACCCAGACATCATTGTTCATCAGCCAATATCCATAGAGGCTTTCAAACATTATGGTAGATCTTAGGAAGCCGCCTTCAACTGCTGTATTTGCTGCTTTTCAGCAAATGATACACCCGTTTTTCCCTGAGTCACGGCCATGGAAGAGGACTTAACCCAAGATCAGAGTCACGCTTTACCTTAGGTTGTAAATGTTGGTCGCAGGGAAACCCAAGGCAAGGTTGTTCTCTTAAAGGCGGGTTAAACAAACCGGGCTGAGCACATGGTAGGACAGCAGTCTTAGGTCTTAATGACCTCAAGGTGTGCTGTTAACTCTGGCTGTGAGGTCCAGCCAAAGTTCCAATCTCTTCCAGTCTCTTAGAACGTAAGAGACGTTTTCACGGAAATGCATTGCCACAATTCGGAGATTAGCGAAGCATACCCTACCCCAGCCGGAGTCTGTGGCAGTGTTTCCAGAGAGGGTGTAGCAAAGAAAGGCCTGCCCTGGTGTGGGCTGCAGCATTCCTGAGGCTGCAGGCTGAGGTCGCGTAAGAGGGAGGAAGGGCAGGGAAGCCCCCCACCCCCCACAGTTCAGGCTTTCTCCCAGACCCACAATGCACCTGTGCGATGCTCTGCTTCCTCCACCTGCACTACCTGCTGGGGTGCGCTGAGTCCTCTGGGGGTCTGAGCCCAGAGAAATCCTTCTTGGTGGTTGGTTTTCCTGGGCGTTTTGTCTCAGCGATGGAAAGGTCACACAGGATTAGCCGCCATGCCTTTGACAGGATCTGGAATGAGCAAAACTTTTTTCTTCCAACCCTGATAGCATCCAGCAGTCACTCAGTTTCCTGAGGATGTTGCTGAGGCCCAAGCACACAGTGCCTGTGGCAGTCACAGGCCAGGGACAAATTTCAGAGTTAGCCGGTGGCCAGCACAGATTCCAGTTCTGGCTGGTTACCATCTGGGTGACCTTGGCTGTACTAGTTTTCTCTAAGCAGAGTTTTCTGGCTTGTAAAGTTCAAATAGCGTGGGCTGGAGGGATGGCTCAGTGGTTAAGAGCACTGACTGCTCTTCCAGAGGACCTGGGTTCAATTCCCAGCACCCACATGACAGCTCACACCTGTCTGTAATCACACTTGTCTGTAACTCCAACATTTGACATCTCACACAGATGTACATGCAGGCAAAACACCAATGCAAGTAAAATAAAAATAAATTTAAAAAAATTCAAATTGGGCAGTGAACTGGCTCAGCAGGAAAAGGTGCTTGCTGCCAAACTTGATGATCTGAGTTCTAGTCCCGGAGCCGACAGAGTGGAAGGAGAGGACCGACTCTTGCAAGTTGTCCTCTGACTGCCACATGCTTGAGCGCGCGCACACACACACAAATGTAAAAATAATTTTTTTTTTGAATATTTAAAGTTCAGAGGTGTGGAGAGATGGCTCAGTGGTTTAGAGCTCTTGCTCTTGCAGAGGACCAAGTTTTGATCCCAGCACCCCACATAGTGGCTCACAAGCATCTGTAGCTCCAGTCCCAGGGAATCTGATGTCTTCTGACCTCCACAGGGCCAGGCACATACACACACACACACACACACACACACACACACACACACACACACACACGAAACATTCATACACATATGTGATCTTGCAAATAAATCTTTAAAAGTAAATAATTTAGGGTTCAAATAATACTGAAAATTAAATGTATAAGTTGTTTCGTGAACATTTTTTATGTGCGTGCATTTTTTAGCATGTGCATGCATGAGGTGCATGTGCAAACCTGTCTCTGTGTGTGCACACTTGTGTGAAGGCCAGACAACAACCTCTAGTGTCATCCTCAGGAATGCCATCCACTTCCTTTGAGACAGGGTCTCTCACTGGCCTGGAGCTCACAAATTAATGCAGACCACAGGCCAGTGAGCCCCATGGGTCCTCCTGTCTGCCTCCCAGAGCTGGGATTCCAAGCGGGTGCCAGCGCGCATGGCACTTTTGTGTGGCTTCTGGTATCAAACCCAGTCCTTCTTGCTTGCAAAGCAAGTACTTGACTGGTGGTGTCATCCCTCCAACCCAAGTATTAGCTATTTTAATAGCATGGATGGTAATAAAGCTCTGGATGATGAAAGTCTGCACGGGCTGGTTCCAGATTGCCGCCATAAGCCCAGCTGATATCTGCTATGAGGAGACCTTGTCGACACTGAGATACGCCGAGAGGTGAGTAGTTGATGAGCAGCAACTGGTCGTGTCCCGGGTCCTAAGTCCCGGCTCCTTTCAGCACGCTGCTACCTGATGGCTTGGTGTCTAGGGAGGGGAGTCCAGGAGAGGAGAATTAAGTGACTAGTGAGAGAGGAATGAAAAATCAAAACAAAAGGGAGAAAGGGAGGCGGCGCTCTTGCAGGGACGCTCAGAACTACTCTTTGGGCTCCAGCGTGGTGGTGCAGCCTTTAATCCCATCGCGGGAATCAGATGCAGGTGGATCTCTGTGAGTTCAACAGCTCCAGCCAGGTGAGATCCTGTTTCAAAAAAACCAAAACAACAGCAAAACCCTCCAGTTCAGGTCATGCCTCCAGCACCGCCTCTCCTGATCTGCCCTTCAGACGCTTCTCAGAGCCCTTTCCTGTGAGTGAAAACCACATCCCCGCCGCCCCCCCACCTCTGCCCCCCGCCACTCTTCACCGCTCAGATGCAATACTGCCTCATGCCATGACACTTTTCTCCCAGCATCTGTGGAACTTCGGCTTTAGCAGCCTCTGGAATGTTCCTTTCCTCCTGCTCTCTCTACTCCGCTCCTGACTTTGTGCTTGGAGCAAGCCTCATTGGAACCTTTACATTTCTTCTGTGAAATGAAAGGGGGTAAGGCACAGAACGCCTGTGGGGGTGGAGCCCTGTGGGAAAGCCTAGCATTTAATCCCTGACATGAAGATAATAAATGGCAGGAGATATCCCTTTAAATTTGAATTTCAGACAGAGAATAAATCATGCTATGGTATACCTGAGCTTTCTGCCGCGGCAACGCCGGGGTGGGAGTAGAGACAGGAACAGAAACCCCTGTAGCTTGTGGCCCATGGCAGCGCAGTTTGCCTGTGGTTTCCAGGGGTTTGACTGTTGGTGAATCACATTCTTGGATTAGCCAAGTGTGTTCGGGATATTCCAGCGCCTAGCGTGGGGACTCAGCTGCGCTTTGTGAGTTTGTATGAACCACGTTGGTACCCGAGGTCAGTTTTGGTCTTAATGGTTGCAGATACGTCTAGGCTTTGGCCCGCGGGCCCACAATGCATCCCAGGCTAGCTGTGGATGTGGCCCGAGGAATCTGTAGAATGCAACAGTGTCAAAAGGCTGGACACTCCTGGTAGTGAAAACTAGCACGGTCCTGCCTGGGATCGGAGCCTGCCGGCTGCTTCCCAGGGCTGGCGGTGCCGCCCTGACTGCAGTGGGGCCTGAGGGAGTGTCTGTCATTGCCTGTGACAGGACTAAAAAGGTTCAGAACAAAGCTGTGATCAACACCTGCGCGCTGGGGAAAGCATCCAGGACGGAGAACAAGTCCCTGCTCGGATTCGGGGGCACTGGAGCGGCAGGTAAATCAAGTCAGGTTGTGCTCGCTCAGCCACACCTGACGTCCAGATGCTGGTTGGAAGGACCGAGAGGTGGTGGCCTGCGTAGCAGCTGGGCTGGGGAAGGAGGAGTGGTCAGGTGGAGGGGGGTGGGAGGGAGGCCCACGTTTTGTTAAGGATCTTCTGGCTCAGCCTTGGAATATTCCAGCTTTGACATCAATGTTGTCTCGTTTGGCACTGATGTGAAACCATGGCCTTGTGCTGTCCCACGCTGTTGGGACACAGAGCAGGCACACCCACCAGGACACATCTCCAGGCTTCTTACGCTGACCTGCCGACCTCAGGCATCCAGGGCCACAGAGCACGGCCTGAGTTAGAGTAGATGCACGCGGTGGTCCATGCCCAGCTCTGCTGGTCCCAAGGTTCTGGATGTGCTGGGTGTCAACACACATTCGGCATCTAATTCCCACTGTTTACAGACCCAGGCATGAAACAGGCAAACACAGCGTAAGACAAATCTGTCATTCTTTCCGACCTCTGGTCGGATGGGAATTCCCTGAACAGATGGTCACATGCCTGCACACGTGAAAAGGGGAAAGGGGGACCTCTGAGCTCCATGCTTCCCAGGACTCATTCTTGTGTTCTAATGCCCGACTCACCCCGGGGCACCACCACCTGCGGCAGAACATAGAAACAGCTCGGTTTTCCCACCCCTCTGCTGTCCCTCTACGTCTCACTGTTGGTGACGTGGATGCTTCAAGTCCCTCCCTCCCTCCCTCTAGAACACTCAGCTGGTTCCCTGGCAGAATGGCAGCTGGGGATTCGGGGGACCTGGGCCCACCTGCTGGAGCAGGCGCGGAAGGAATGGGAGGAGCAGTATGCGGCTCTCACGAAGGTGAGGCTCACACCGTCCGTCCCCTAGCGGCCCACCTCCCTCCACACAGCTGTGGTCAGGCTCCAGACTCAGGACTGTGGTGAGGGCAGAGTTGGCCTGACGGAATCAAGGAGATCATGGCAAGGCTGATGAGTGAGGACAGATGTTAGGACACTTTGTGACTCGTTTTTCAAGGACTACGTGAGTGTCCCCTGGGGACAGTATAGATTGGCCTGAGCTCTAGTGTCCCTCCTGGGTGGCATTCACTTTCACCATCAGATCCTAACAGGCCATGCTGTGAGTGCAGCAATCATCATTATTGTTATTTTAGGTGCTGGGGTGAAATCCAGGGCATTGCGAATGCTAGGCAAGCCTCCTTGCATCGCTGAGCCACACCCCAGCTTCCAAGCCGGGCTGTGGATGTCATCCATGGGTGAGACTGCTACCTTGGCTCTCACCAGAATCTTATTCTTAGCCATGAGGCTCTGAGCAAATGCCCAAGTCTTGGGCCAGTCCTGGAACTCTTAGGAGAGAGGGGAGAACCCAACTTGGATACAGGAAGGTTCATGAAGCCCAGAATAAACCTCAGGTGGTAGAAGTAGAGTAGGGTTCGGTCTGTAGTGTCAGCAGCCCAGATCAATGTAGAGTCAAGGATTCTGAAGGTCTAGGCAAACTTGGGTGCCCTTTAAACAGCATCCATTGGAGGGTGGCCCTGTGTGACCCTGGGTTTAAGTGGGCTTCAGGGTACAGGTCTACAAAACTTTATTTCAGTGAACAATAACCACCAGGCCTTTCATGGTCTCTGCTTAATGGTCCTCTGATTAATCAGAAGGAACTTGAGGATTTAAAACTCACCCTGACCCACAAGGTTAGCTTTAATTCTGTTTGTTCATCCTCCATACCGACAATGGGGTCCCACCCTGTGAGGAAGACTGAAATGCACTTGGGTGTCACTGAGGGAGAATGCAGTGTGCCATTCTTTGCCATTGATAATAACTGATGCTTAGTCAGCTAGCAGCAAGTTAAAAGATACCCAGGGAGGGGCCACGGGGGGAGGGGCCACGGGGGTGGGGGCACGGGGGCGGGGCCACGGGGGCGGGGTAGGGGTAGGGGACAAGGAGTCAGAGGATGCCAGGGGCCTGAAGAAAAGAAAGGTGAGGCAGAAGTAAAGGGGGGGCAATAGAAGATGACTAGTCGGGGAAGGAAGGGAGGCCCCTGGGCCTTGGAACAGGCCTGCCGGGACAGCTCCCTTCCTCCTGAGCTCCCTGGGACAGGCTCAGGGATCTACAGGCTTCTCTGTCTTTTTAGGAGCAGCAGATGATAAAGGCTCTCCCACACCTTCTCAACGTCAATGAGGACCCGCAGCTCACAGGGGTCCTCAAGTTCTTCATCCACAAAGGTACTTGATCCTGCGGCTCCTGCTACCCGCCCCTAGGCCAGCTCTGATTCCATGTCCTTCCTCCCTCTCTTCCTCCCCTTCTCCCTCACCCCTTCCCTTGCTCCCTCCCTCCCTCCCTCCCTCCCTCCCTCCCTCCCTCTCCCTTTCCTTTTTTGATTTTTTAAAAAATATTGTATTACAAAACATACAACGTAAAGTTCACTTCTTTAACCGCTCTTGAGAGCACAGTGCAGAGGCACTAAACCATAACCACACCTACTTCCAGAACTTTCCACCATCACCTCAAACTGAAACTCTGTACCCATTAAGAGCCACCTCCCCACTCCCCTCCCTGAGCCCTGGGGGACCCACCATTCTTTCTGTGTCTGGATTTCTCCACGCATGGCGCCTCATAGCAGTGAGATCACACCGTGCTTTGTGTCTGCTCAGTTCATTCAAGGTGGAGCATAGTTTGGAATGTCTTTCCCTGCTAAGATAAATAGTCCCTATCATATACATACCAAGTACACTGCATCTACCCGTCACCTGCACGTGGTCACCTAACATTTGTCTAGTGGTTTCTGCGGAGGTGGCAGCCTTTGGAATGTCTCTCCAATATATGTGCTACTGAATGGGTTGCATTCCACGCCCGGAGTTGGCCTGACCACTCCCTGACCACTGTGCACGTCTAAGCCATGTGCAGGGTGGTGGCAGGACTGCCAGGAGCACTCAGGAGCTGCAGGGAATAGGGTGCACCCCGAGGGGCCAGCCACCACAGAAACAGAGCTTCAAAGAGCCTTTGCTGTCCCAGCTTCAGTGGGCCACTGAGGACGAAGGCCCATGAAGAAGGTGGCATTTTCACCAAGTTGGGGATCCCAAGACAAACAGCAGAAAGTAAACACAATTATCCGTAAAGCAAGGTCATATCCTGGTGCCGTTGTGATTGACAGCTCCAATTGGGGGAAAGGAAAAACAAAAAAACAAACAACAACAACAACAACAACAACAAAAAAGTCTTTGCATGCTCTTACTGAAGAAAAAAATGCCACTTTCAAACTATCAAATATTACCTCATCAAGACCAAATGCTGACGATTTGAAGATAAACTGTCCCAACTCTTTCCAGGCTCCTGTGATGTTGGTCGGGCAGCTTCCAATGCTATTCGTCTTCAAGGCCTGGGGTAAGAATAGCACCGTGTCCTGAACTAGAGGACCAGGACTTCTCAGCCCAGAGATCTGTCTAGTTTGGTTTTAGGTTTTTTGTTTGTTTGTTTGTTTGTTTGTTTGTTTTTGAGACAGGATCTCACTATGTAGCCCTGGTTGGCCTCAAACACAAAATCCCCCTGCCTCCTCCTCTGAGTGCTGGGTTGTCAGGCTTGTGCCAGCATGCTTCACTGGAGAAGATTCTGGAAAGTCATCTGGTCGTAGGTAAGCCAGGCTGTCAGTCCTGCTAGATGGGCAATATTAAAAAGTTCCCAGACCTCCTCCCTCAGCAACTCCTGCAATGCTCATGCAAGAGTGCTTGCTGAAGTCCAGTGTGGTGCACACCTCCTGTTTCCTTCCGCTCATCTTGGGGGGAAAGGGACGTCAGTGGTTAATGCCTGTAAGACAGAACTTGACAAGCAGAAGTAAGGCAGCCCTGCAAAACATAAGGGGAGATGAAAGGCCGAGCACATCGTGGAGGGTCTTTCACAATTCACCTTCAGGTGCCTGTATCCTTAGGTGTTCAGAGCCCTTACTGCAGTAGCTTTTGAAAATTAATTTTAAGCCACACCTGGTGGCACACACCCTTAATCCCAGCACTTGGGAGGCAGAGGGGCGGATCTCTGTGAGTTCAAGGCCAGGCTGGTCTTCAATGCAAGTTCCAGGACAGCCAGTGCTACAGAGAAATCTTGTCTCAAAAAACAAAAAAAAATAATTTTAAAATTACATATATATGTTTTAATTGGCACCATAGGTATGTGTATTTGTGTTCTGTAGAGTGATTTTCAGAACACACATACGATGGTTAGTGATCAGATGTACTAGGGATTTTAAAGCACTCAGCTAATGACTTTTAGCATCATAAGCTTCTGCTGTAGAGCACCAGACGCTCCACCCCTGTGGTCATTAACTATTCCCCACCCCCCACCCCCACCCCAGGCTATGGCAACCACTCTTCTATTCTTTACTTCTTTGAGACCAGTGTTTTGACCTCCACACATGGGGGAGAACATGTGGTTATTTGTCTTTCTGTACCTGGTTGATTTCATAATGCCCTCCAGCTGCACCCATGTTGCTGACATCATGGGAACCCATTCTTTCTTTCTGGCCAAATCGTTTCCATAGTTTCCCCTGGTGAACATACACCATATTTCTTCACTGCCTTCTGATGGACACACATACAATCTTGGCTATTGAAACATGTTTTCACTTCTCCATGGTTCGCTTGTAGTGTTCAAGGACTTTGTGATGGTCTCAGTGGCTGGTGGTTCCTGGCAGCTGCAGGTCCCCAGCTAGGGCTTGTTCTGTGGCTAGAATAGCATCTTTGCTGTCTTCCATCTCCCCGCACCCTCCAGGGCCCTGCAGTCTCGGATAGCCTACGGACCACAGTACTGTGTGCGGTGAGGGCCAGCAGGAGCTTCCCCGTTGATCCCAGTTATGGATCTCACTTTGCAACTTGACCACCCGTGAAATCATAATCTCCTGGGTGACCCCGACAAATTTCTGTCTTCTTAGAATTTCGGATAGACATGCTTCCTTCGTGAACCTGGATGGTCAAGTGTCAGTCGCTCCACACGGCAAGTGCAAGGTTGTTGTTAATGGGGTACCTGTCACCAACAGGACAAAGCTGCAGCATCTGGTACGTTCCTCGCCCAGCCACGGAAGTGCCTCCGTGCTCCCCTCGCGATGGTGGCAGGGGTCGGGGGTGGGAGGGCGGGGACGGGACTTCCTTGTGAAATGTCTCCTGTCACACAGAGAGGGACTGTCCAGGTCTGGAGCTTCCTAGCTCTGCCAGACTGCATAGGCTGGGATCACAGACCTGCTCCCCACTCCCTGTGTCTCAGGAGCATCGCTCGAAACACAAGGAAGGTGGAAACGGATACCCTTCAAGACCCTTCTTGGCGCTCACATTTTGTGACATCTGAGGCTTAAGAGAGCCTGCCGCGGGGAGTGATGAATTAATTAGCGGCTTACACCAGTCCCTCTGTGTTCTGCCCCCCACCTTGGAGTCTCTACCACCACAGCGGCTCTACTGGCTACCCTGAAGCCTCCTCCCTTCACCAATCACTATACACAGAAGCCGCAGCCTCTAAGACAGGCAGGTGGCTCAGCCACTCCCCTTTTAGAAGCACTAGGTGAGCCCTCCCTAGCTTCACGTCCAGCACACGCCCCATCCCAAGGACTTCCCTTTAGTGGACCAGCCGCAGTGTGGTCTTCCTCACCGAAAAGCCTCCATGCCGGGCGGTGGTGGCGCACGCCTTTAATCCCAGCACTCGGGAGGCAGAGCCAGGTGGATCTCTGT